TACTTCCTCTTCTTTTGACTTTCTTATTTTGGCTGCTGCGAAAAATGTAGTCTCGAAAAATGACAAACTGGAAAGTCCTCAACTCAATCATTTTCAGAATTAAAAAAATGAATTTTTATGCCAATAATTCACCCAGCCAACAGTTTTGAATTAACAGTGTAATTCATTCTGCACCCCACTAATATCTTCAAGTGGTTTACTTGTTTATGTACTCCAATGGCTTTAATTTCAGGCTTGTTTTACTTGTGCATATTTGTTTTGGTTGCATGTTTTACTCGCCCAATTGTGTGTATTAGCAGACCTCAAGCTGCCCTCTTCGTGTTCGGCGATTCACTGTTTGATCCTGGGAATAATAACTACATCAATACCACCACTGAATTCCAAGCAAATTGGCGGCCATATGGAGAATCATACTTCAAATACCCTACCGGCAGGTTCTGTGATGGACGCCTTATCCCTGATTTTATCGGTAATTTCATATTTTTATATGGCGTTTTGGTCAATTATTTGATAAGTCTTTTGAACAAATATTCTGCGAGTGTTTTAATGGAAAATACTGTAACTTTCAGCCAATTATGGGAAACAACCTAACTTCCACAAATTGCTAATTGGTTAAATTAATTAACTTTGCATTGAATAACCTAATTTCGACAAAGGACTAGTTAATCAATTAATATGTTTCTAAAATAGTTGGCGTAAGCATATGGATCGTGTTTATCCATTCAGTTTGTATTTCTGTTTAAACTGTTGTGATTTTGCTTTCCTTGAGCCGAGGGTCTAACAGAAACAGCCTCTTTACCTGCGTAAGGTAGTAAGGTAGGGTTAAGGTATGTGTATACACTATCTTCCCCAGACCCCACTTGTGAGATTATAGTAGCGATGCTGTTGTTGTTGTGTATAAATTCAGTTCTCACATTGGTACACGAAATGAGTTGCTATTTTCTTATCAGGTTTATGATCAACTATGTTATGCGAAAGGAAGTTAGGTGACTTTCCACATATAAACGGGAGATCCACCCTTTAGATAGATATTCTATAGTCATCTTAAAAACTTTGATTGCAATGTGCCTACGAGAATTATTTGGCTACGGAGGCATGAGGTGATGGAACTTTGAATATTGATTGTATATTTGCAGCTGAATATGCTAATTTGCCATTGATTCCATCATACTTTCACATTGGCAAGCAACACTTCGTTCATGGGGTGAACTTTGCATCAGGCTCTGCTGGTTGCTTGGCCGAAACCCATCGTGGTTTTGTAAGTGACATTTCCTTTTTTGCTTTAGTTTTATTTGTAAGTGACGATTCCTTTGAATTAGTTCTATGTAATCCATGTTTGAAATTGATAATTAAATCAATTTAGGGTGGAAGTCTTCGATTTAATTGGTTTCATATAAGCTCTTATTAAAGTAATAGAAAGAAAATCTTTCAAGGCTTTTGAAAAGTGTTTTTCCTATCCTTCCCACCTATTCCTGTTTGACCATGCAAAGTTTATTGAAGAATTTGTTGAAAGTGCCTTCTCAAAGAAACTTCTTGAGGAACCTCATATATACTCACAGAACATTAGAATTACAACTTCCAAACTCGTCTTTGAAACTTCTTCTCAGGAATACATCTACCGAAAACTTCTCCAAGTGGTCCAAACGCAATAACACTACAAACTTTTTACCTTCCAAAAGTGTCTGTCATGTGTCGAATTATTACAAATGAACTTGTAAGTTGTAATGTGATAAGTTTCTCTACTGTTAAACAAGTAAAAGGTCTTTACTAGTCTGATCTACTAAGAGGTGCAAGTTTAAGTTTTTTTTCTCAATCACACGTATGGATACTTAACTGCTTGATGGTGAAAAAGAGTTTATTCTCATTTGTAAAACTAACATTCTTAGTTAATGTTGTATAAGAAATAAATTTTAATTTTCAATCACTTGCCAAATATTTTTACTTAAAGTTTGACTTTGTGTAGCATTTCAACGTTTTATACTTTGCATTCATCAAACAGGCTCAAGTCTATTTGTATAATACTCTGCATGCTATTTTGTGTTCAGGATAAGATTCTTACGTAACTTATTTGATAAGAAGATTGTTAAATAACCATAATTCCTTCTATGTCAAATTCTGCAAGTTACTTACTATTACCAGGACTTGTTTATCTCTAAAATATTGGTTCCATTTGACAGGTTATAGATCTCAAAACACAGTTGAAATATTTCAAAAATGTGGTGGAAATATTGAAGAAGGTGGGAGAAACGGAATCCAAACAAATCCTCTCCAGTGCTGTATATATTTTTAGCATTGGCAATAATGATTATTTGGCTCCTCTCTTAACAAATTCGACTATTCCATATCCTGAGAGAGAATATCTTCAGATGATTATGGGCAATTTGACATCTGTTTTGAAGGTAATGAACTCGTTGATTCAACCTAAAATTTTCGTCATTCTTTGGAGTTAATTTTACAATTTATCTATTTGAGACTGGGAAGTATTTGCTAAGTGATGAGTGTTTTCATTTTTTCGTCCATTTTAGAAAAGTGTATATTTTAATGATACGAATGGCTTTGACCAAAGCAAATCAAAATTTGTAATTTATTTGGGATGAATTCATATATTGTTGTTTTCTTTTTCTGTGAAATAATGACAAATTAAAACTTCTGTGTTAAATTCTTTTGTTTGCCAAATTTGAGTTTGTTTTCATGCTCTAGGTTGAGTATTGTCTAGAGAGTAGCTAGACTAATTCGTTGCACTTTCTTAAATTAATGCAACAGGGAATTTACAGGGAGGGAGGGAGAAAATTTGCCCTACTTAATATGGTTCCCATAGGTTGTCTCCCTTATATTAGGGCTCTTAATGCTCAAAGAGGAGTTAAGAATGGCGATTTCATAGAGGAGGTCACAAACTTGGTGAAAATGCATAATTTGGCTCTCCCAGGAATTCTCAAGCAACTGAAGAAGCAATCGCCTGGACTTAAAGTATACATTATTCAACTTGTTCAAAGTATTTGCAGAAAGCATTGATAATCCAACAAAATATGGTATGTTTTATCTCATCAAACTCAAAATCACCTCTCTTTAGTTTTGTTTCTATTTTCTGCAGCATAGCAAATATGGTAATAAGTAGTATAGGTTTTTTCTTTACTGTCTTTTCCATCCCATGTTTGCACTTTGTCAGAAATTTTATTGCCCTGCTCATAGAATAGAATGTGGGTTTTATATCTTAATCGGTTAAATCATATGTTGATGCAATGCTCATATCACAATGCGATGATACTGACAATGTAAAGGAAGTACAAAGTAAAATGTTTAATTATCATCTAAAGAATGTTTCCTTAGTTTACTTACAATTTTGCTTTTGTTTAGGTTTTAAGACATCAAAGACGGCTTGTTGTGGGACTGGTCCATTTCGAGGGAATTATAGTTGTGGAGGTAAGAGGCAGGTAAAAAAGTATGAGCTATGTAAAAACGTAAAAGATTACTTGTTTTTCGACTCATTTCATCCCACTGAGCTGGCCTACCAACAACACGCCGAATTACTCTGGAATGGAACTCCAGATGTTGTTGCACCTTACAACCTAAAATCTTTTATTGAACTTTCAACATAACCTGATGGTGGCATTGCTGGGATTGTTTCTTTAATTCATATTAAAGGATAGAAGCAAAAAGGAATGTGAAATTTGATGCTAAAAGAGCTAGATCTCTACCTTGTTCTTCCGTTCCTTTTCTGTTCAATTTAGGAAGACTCAATCTTCAGATTTGAGGAGATGCCGTCATATCTCAGTCTTCATGATTGAACAAAAAGTCGGGAATTAGTTGGAATTATGCAATGTACATTTGAGTTCTATATATCAATGGATAAGGATTTGTAAAAGAATGTCCTTTTTATTAGGGAAGTGATTGGGATTAATAAACCTTCCCCTTTTTTCTGTGTCTCTTGCGTTGTTCTTCTACGGTCAGCTTTCTTTCTCTGTAGTCTGGCATTGCTCCATCATTGGACCTTGAAAAGATGAACGTGCCCAGAGATGGCAAGCATACCCAGTACATCTGCATCAGGCATCATCTAATATCCTCTGCTAAAACTATAGTTCCAAAAAGAGTTGAAGAAAAAGAACATGAACAAAAACAACCCTTTCCTGCCTTCCTTTATGTTTAAAGAAAACAAAAAACATGTTTGGGTGATTGTTTGATTTCTTAAAACCCGATACTATGTTTTTGCAAATGCAGCTTCAGAGTAATTCCATTGTTTGTGCGGACATTGGCATTTGAATTAGTATCTGCTTGTCTCTGAAAACAATCCTTTAAACAGGAAATGAGCATAGCTTGAGATCTTTGTTGTCTTGCTTCTCTTGTTATTTTTCTCTTTTTGGTTTCTCTCCTGGTATCCGGCAGTGGTGTCAAAGGCGTGCTTAAAGCGCGCTTAAGCTCTAAAGCGAGGCTCAAAACATGTTGAGCGCTTCACCTCGCTTTGCGGGCGCTTTAGTGCCGCATCAAGGCTCTAAGGCATACTTTTCCTTGCCAATGAGTGTAATCCTGAAAAGACGACACTAAACAATTGATATATCACTTCATCGTAATTTTTTTTCAATTTTTTTGTCCATATATTTGTTATTCATGCTTAGGAGTGGCAAACGGGCGGGTTGGGTCAGATATGGTTCGGGTCGAAAACGGGTAATGAAAAAACGAATAAATTATCCGACCCGACCCATATTTAATACGGATAAAAAACGGGTTAACCGGCGGATAATATGGGTAACCATATTATCCATGACTTCTTGCATATGATCACTTTTTGGAGAATTCTTAGTCTCCCTAACTTGAGGAACCCCCACTTTGAGGTTTTACAAATGTAAAAGTTAGACCCATTGGTTATCCATTTTCTAAATGGATAATATGGTTCTTATCCATATTTGACCCATTTTTAAATAGTTCATTATCCAACCCATTTTTTAAAGGATAATATGGGTGGTTAACTATTTTCTTTGAACCATTTTGCCATCCCTATTCATGCTTATAATTATTGGTCTTGGACTACATATACATATTTTTACTTTTTCTCCAGTTGCGCCTTTTTTTCATTAAAGCCCACGCTTTATTTGCGCTTAAAGCTCCAACGGACCTTAGGGCTTTTTTGCGCTTTTCGCCTTTGATAACACTGGTGTCCGGTACCCGCATTAGGTCCCCGACTAATCCGGATTCTCACCGCGTAAGGCCCATTAAAGGGGAAACACTCCCTACAGGATGTCTTGTTTCTCAGAATTCATTGTCAGTAGTTTAGATTCTAGAAAGCATGCTCCTCTTGTAAATTATAAATGGGTCTCATTGTTCTGAAGTACTGCCCCATGGAGTTGTTTCACTTGAAAAAATCAGACACAAGTTTCCAAGATATTCAATAGGAAAAATGATGTTCCAGAGAACAGACTGCTGTTATGAGGTGACTTGTGAATTGACTGATTGCTAGAACTTGGCTTTACCGTACCACTGCAAAGCATCAGTCAAGAAGTAAGTCCAGAACATTTCTATGCCGATGGTGGATATACAGTCAGTGGTGGTCTCTGGAACGATCTACTAAAGGTATGCTCATAAACACTATCTATTTCTTAGGGTTGGTCTAAGTATAGGTGGTGCCAAGAATGCTGGCACTGTTGAAGCGTGTTGTGTACCGAACATTCCTTTGCATCATCTTTGATGACCTCACTTATATATTATCAACACAAGGTAAGGGATTTCAACACACACTTGCAAAACCTAAAGATTGGATTCTCTCAAATGTGCAGCCGCACTTAATTCCTCTGAGGCACTGAAGAACAAAGCAGCAACAGAACAAATCCCAACATTGATTATATCATGTATCCTTTAGTATTGTTGTGTCTTTGTTTTGTATTATTAAATTGTAATTCCTATACAGCTTTTAAGAAACATTCATAGGACATCTTTTAAACCATTATCATTGTGGTTGTTTTGACTAGAATTAGTCAAGTGTGTAGCTTTGTAATAGAGTTATTACAAAGAGGCTTACAATATATTTATTGTAAAAAAGTGAGGGATTAAGAGTTTAATTCCTAGATTGTAATAGGTTGTAATCTAAAGTTTGCTCAGTTAGTGAAATTGAAATCCTACTAGTGTAGGTCGTGGTTTTTAATCATGTGAGCTTGGAGTTTTCCACGTAAATATCGTTATGATCTTTACTCACTGCTGTGTACTATGGGAACTGATATAGAACCAGGATCTCTATATAGTTTGATGGACTCTTAGCTTACATCAGTTCCCGGTTTCCACCAACATATGACTCTGTGGAAATAGCTCAATATGCTCAATCCCCCAACCTGCGGTGGAGGTGCTCTACCACTACAGCAAACCTCACTCGTCAAACAATGGGTTTTAGTTTTCATTTTGGTTGATAGACAAGATAAGGAAAATCTGAATGAACCAAACTCTAAATTTGAATTCACAAGTTTAGTCAAAGAATGAGAAATATAGGTTAATCTCTTCTTTTCAAATATTATGAGGAAATTTAGTTGGATAAGACTAAGACATTCTACCTTCTACATGTCTCTATTTTTCTGTCAATGTTCAAAGAGGTTCTTAAGCAAGAAATCATCCTATAAAGAAACGACGAAATTAAGTTTGTAAATCTGAATATACACAAAACTCTCCAACTGGTTTTTCAAAAACTGTTTCAATTATACCAATAGCTTTGAGCTCAAGCTTGTTTCACCTCTGCATATTTGTTTTGGTTGCATGTTTTACTTACCCAATTGTGTGTAGTAGCAATTCTGAAAGACACCAAGCTGCCCTTTACGTGTTCGGTGATTCACTGTTCGATCCTGGGAATAATAACTATATCAATACCATTACTCAATTCCGAGTAAATTGGTGGCCATATGGAAAATCATTCTTCAAGTACCCTACCGGCAGGTTCTGTGATGGACGTCTTATCTCTGATTTCATCGGTACAATTTAATGGCGATTTGTCAATTGTTCGTAAAGTGTTTAGAAATATTTTTGAATCAGTGCATAAAAATAGTTGGCATCAGCTATGTATATGAATCATTTCCGTTCTACTCACAAGGGTTGTTTTGCTATATTATATGGAGACATGAGGTGATGAGGAGACTTCGATTTTTTATCGTATTAATTTGCAGCTGAATATGCTAAATTGCCATTGATTCCACTGTATTTTCAAATTGGCAAAGCAACATTTTGTTCATGGGGTAAACTTTGCATCTATGTTGCGCGGACTCTACAAAATGTAGCCGCACCCGTGTCGGATCCTTCAAAAATGCACTACTATTGGAGGATCCGACACGTATCCTGCCACATTTTCGAAGAGTCCGAGCAACATAGCTTTGCATCAGCCGGTTCTGGCGTTTCGAATGAAACCAATCGTCGCTTTTTAAGTAAGATTTCCTTTGACCTATGTGTATTTCTTGTTTGAATTTGATAGTTAAATCAATATAGGTTGGAAGTTCTTGCTTGTTTATGTATCTTAAAATAATGATTCCATATCAAGAGATTTTCAGTTGTGGAGGCAAGAGGCAGGTAAAACAGTACGAGTTATGTGAAAATGTGAAAGATTACTTGTTTTTCGACTCTTATCATCCCACTGAGCTGACCTACCAATATTACGCTGAATTACTGTGGAATGGAAATCCAGATGTCGTAGCCCCTTATAACTTAAAATCCTTTTTTGAACTTTCAACATAACGTGATGGTGTCACCGGAGGAATCACGTTGTTAATGCCTACTAAAGGAAAGAAGAATAAAATGTAAAACATTTATGTTAAAGAGCTTAATGTCTACTATTTTTACTGTTCTTTTTTTGTTCAATTTATGAAGAATGTCAATCTTTAGTTTTGATGAAATGACTTCAGACCTCAGTCTTTCATTACTAAACTAAAAATCAGAAATTAGTTGGAATCATAATATCTACTTTTCATTTGTATATGCAATTGGAGAAGGATATATGAAAGAATGTCCTTTTGATTAGGGAAAGTTATTGTAAGATACATAAAACTTCCCCTCTTTGTCTGTTCTTTTACTTTGTTCTTATGTAGTCAGCTTTGTTTCTCTGTAGTCAGCCATTGCACCATTATTGGACCTTGAAAAGCTGAATGTATCTGGAGATAGCAAGCATAGTCAGTACTTTTGCATCAGGGA